TGGTCTCGTTTGCTCGGACCTTGGTTTGTTTGCTCGTTTACGTGTGTTCTCGGCCCCTGGGTCGTTACCTCGTTTTCTCGGACCCTGGTTCATCGTCTCGTTTTCTCGGTTTCTGGGTTGTTGTTTCGTTTTCCCTGGCCCTGGTTCTTTTTCTCGTTTTCGCGCTTTCTCGGCCCTTGGATCGTGTTCTCGCTTTCTCGGGCCCTGGCTCGTTTTCTCGTTTTCTCGGCCTCTGGGTCGTAGTTCCGTTTTCTCGGGCACTGGTTTGTTTTCTCGTTGTCTCGTTTTGTCGGCCTCTCGGTCGTGGTCTCGTTTTATCGGACCCTGGTTCGTTTTCGCGTTGCCTCTGCCCCTGGGTCGTGGTCTCGTTTTCTCGGACCCTGGTTCGTTTGTTGGGACCTTGGTTTGTTTTCTCGTTTTCTCGTTTTCTCGGCCCCTGGGCCGTGGTCTCGTTTTCTCGGACCCTGCTTCGTTTCCTCGGTTTCTCAGCCCCTGGGTCGTGGTCCCGTTTTCTCGGACCTTGCTTCTTCGTCGTCGTCGGTCGTCGGTCGCGCGTCGTCCGTCGTCCGTCGCCGTCTTCGCATGACCTCGTCCTCGTCGTGACGACCGCGACGAGGTCACACGAAGACGGCGACAATGACGGCGACGGCGGCGACAACAACGACGAGGACGACGACGGCGTCGTACGAAGACGTCGAGGGACGGCGACGGCAACGACGAGGACGACGGGGGAGGATCGTCCGGCAGGGGGTGGTCAAGGGAGGGGGGTAGTAGCTGAGCCGCCTTTCTTCCTTTTAAAAGGGGGGGGGAGGGGTAGTTTTCTGCAAGGGAAGCCGAAACAAACGAGGAGGGGGGGCTTCCGCCAGAGGAAGGTCAGGGAGGGATGTTGCTGTGTTCCGCCTTCCCTCTTCGTCGGGTGGGGGAGGGTGGGGGGCTGCCTGGGTGCCGAAAGGGAGGGGGGGGGGCCTAGGGGGGGGGAAGGGGGGAAGCTTCCGGCAGAGGACGGTCAAGGGGAGGGGGGGCTGCTGAGCCCCCTTCTGTACTTTTCGTAAGGAGGGGAGGGGGGGGCAGCCCGCCCGGGTGCCGAAAGGCGGGAGGGGAGGGGGGGGGCTGTTAAGCCCCCTCCTCCTTTGGGAGTGAAGGGGGGGAGGGCGGGGAAGGGGGGGGGAGCTTCCGGCATCGGGGGGTCCAGGGTGTCAATGGCACAGATTCTGTTCCAATGTAGTAGCTATGCATGATGTAATGATTGCTAGCATGCACGTGTGTGTGTTGCTTGCTTGCTTGCGGTACATACTTGCGTGTAGGTGTGCGCGCGCCCGCTGCCTGTTTTGACTCAAACTGATTCGTAGGGGCCCCTGAGCTGATATTAACTACGAGCGGATCTTATCGATCGCAATCTATCCAATTTCATATTCGGTTTGGAACTTTGTGTGTTCAGACTTTGGTGGTTCTATTGAGTGCTACCGACATTGGTAGCGGAGCTACGGCTCCAGGTCCACGGCCCGACCGATAACGTCCGCTCTTGATTTTCTCCCAGCAGAGTCGAGAGATGCGGCCCAACGGTCAACCAGGACCGGGACGCGGACGAGGTGAAGGGCGTGGCGGTGGCGACGCTGGACGAGGAAGAGGCCAGCAGGAGGAACGTCGCCAAGCCGAGGAGCAGGAGATACCAGACGACGACAGCGAGCTCCTCGGAGGAGGAGGTGGCCGAGGACGACAGGGTGAGCGGCCACCACAAATAAACGCGGGCTTGGCGAAGTGCTGCCCGCATGCGACGGACCTCAGCCACGCGACGTACAGGACCTTTCGACGGAGAGCGACGGTGTTCCAGAGGTTGTGCGCGCGCCGAGGCGCGCCAGTGGTGAGTGAGGGCGCCTACTTGCTCCTGCAGAGCCTGCAGGGCGACGCATGGGACGCCTGTGATGAGATAAGTTTCGAGAGGATGGACACCGCAGAGGCATTCGACGAGATTTTTGAGAAGTTGGACGTGCTGTGCAGGTACACGCAGGAGGTCGAGTTGCCAGGAAGATGCGACGGATTTTTCGGAGAGTTCGCGCGGCAGCCGAAGGAGACGCTCAACGCGTACGTGCTCAGGCATGGCAAGGAGCTGACGAAGCTGCGCGAAGCGGGACTTGAGCTGCCAGATCTACTGGCAGGATGGCATATGATGACGCGAGCGGCGATTCCCCAGTGGCAAGTACCCAACCTCAAGGCGCTGTGCAACAACAGGTTGACGGTGCAGGTGGTCATGGAGAGCCTGAAGACGATGTTCGGAGGCGACAGCGTGGCGCACAAGAAGGACATCGATCGCGTGAGAAGTACTTATCACGGACGAGGCAGTCGAGAAGAAGGCTACTGGATGGAAGACTACTATGAAGAAGATGATGATGCTTACTATGATGACGAGTACGACCCGCATGAAGAGTATCAAGAAGATGACGAATGGTACGAGGATGACGAGGAAGTGCCGGAGGATCTCGAGAACGCCTACGAGGCTACCGAGGAGGCCTACGCAGCGTATGCGGAGGCTCGAGCCAAGATGAACGAGTTGGCAAAATCCCGAGGATTCTACCCCGTGGTGGCGCTGATCGACGAGAAGCGTGGACTACCCCCTCCAAGAGTTGGAAATGCCAGGCCGCCAAAAGGAAGAGGACGCAGCAGCAGCGGCAAAGCGAGAAGCGCGCAGAAGGGCAAGCAGAAAGGACGATACGGTGGACGAGCACCCTTCGGCGGTGGCAAGGGTGGCAAGCATTTCGACGGCAGCCCGAAGACGACGCATACTGGATCTACGCAGCAACACGGACCAAGGTTCAAGCGGCGACGAGATGGAGCACCCGCCAAGCACGACGAGGACGCGAAGATGCTGTACGAGATCGGCACGGACAACAAGTTGACTGAGATTGCGCCCAGTATGGAGACGGCGCACGGATTACAACTCGAAGAAGTGAATTTGGCTACGGGCAAAGGAGTTGGCGACAGTGGAGCTACGAAGCCAGTCATGGGACTCGACGAGCGGCCGAAGTGGCGCAAGAAGTTGACGGACATGGGCATGGCCGACCAGATCGCGACGGAGCGGTGCCAGAAGACATTCCGGTTCGGCAACGATGCTACGGCGACGGCAAAGCAGATGGTTACGTTCCCAGTCTGGGTTCGCAAGACGAGGCGCGAGATCACGGTTTACCTGGTGCCGGGCAAAGTTTCTCTTTTAGTGGCTCGGCCGTGTCTCGAAGAATGGGGCATCGTGGTGGACTACCGCAACAAGAAGGCGATGTACCTGGACGAAGTACCGCAGACGTGGAGCGACATCGAGACAAACGAGAAAGGCCACGTGATCCTGGACCTCTTGAGTTTCCCAGAGGACGCGCCGGAGATCAAAGAGGAGTCTAGCTCGACGGACGCCGACACGGACGGAGATCACGAGGTCAAGAGCGAAGAGGAGATAGATTTCTACGTGACCAGCACTCATGGCGAGGAGAAGGAGGACGCGGAGACGACGAATTTCGACGCCGAGCAGCTGAAGGATTGGTTTACGAAGGTTAACAGGACGCTCGACGAGAAACCCAAAGTTAAACGCAAGTTCTGGGAGATCTTTGTCAATGAGGGACGTATTTCACAGCATGTCGAGCAGCATGGCGACTTCAAGACGGACAAGTATACGTTGGACACTGGCTGGGATTTCACGAGGAAGTCACATCGCGAAGCGTTCTTTGATAAATTACGACGTGAATGGCCAGAGGAAGTTTGGATTTCACCGCCATGTACGCCGTGGTCTTCGATCAACACGCTGAACGACGCGAGTAAGGACAACAGATATCGGCAGCAACGCAGACGAGAGCGAGAGAAGCAGAAGAAAGAGTTTCTGAAGTTCAGCCGGGACATCTACGACGAGCAGCAGAAGAACGAGAGGAACGCGCATTTGGAGCATCCCAGATACGCGACGTCGTGGAGCGAGGACGTCTGGCAGGACATGGAAGGATACGACACGTTCGTGGACCAGTGCGCGTACGGGCTGAAGGCGCTGGACCGCGACGGGCGCAGGATCGGTCCGATCAAGAAGCCCACGAACGTGCGGACGACCAAGTACAAGATGCACGAGGGACTCTGGAGGCGTTGCAGCTGTAAGGAGAAACACGTTATGCTGGAAGGAGCTCACAACATGCGCGGAGTGGAGAACTATCCGAGGAGTATGGCGTTTCAGGCGGCAATCTGCATCGTGGACGACCCGCAGAACGAGTCAAGCTACGCCGTAGAGGAGATGACGCAAGAGGAGTTTGACAAGATCGAGTACAAAGAAGTTTGGAAGAATTTACTTGAAGTTCACGCTCGACGAGGTCAAGTGGGTTGAGAAGGTGCATGTGCAGATGGGTCACCCATCGAGTGAAGCGTTGGCGGCAGCACTCAAGGAGATGAACGCGGATGATCGTTTGGTGAGCTGCGCGCGGATTTATATTTGTGAGATATGCTTGAAACGGCAGAGGCCTAAACCAGTACGGATCGCCAGGATTCCAAAAGATAGAGGTTTCAACGACACGATCGACATAGACACTTTTCACGCGAAGTGGAACGACAAGCACACGCTGATTTTTACGATTATGGACGAGAGCTCGCGATGCGAGGTCGACACGGTGGTGCCAGACGAAAAAGCGAAGACCGAGATAAAGGCGATCGAGAAAAACTGGATCAATTGGGCTGGTGCGCCAGTGCGTATTCGGGCTGATCAAAGTGGTGCGCATGTGAGTGAGGAGTTTTCGGAATGGTGCGACATGCGGCAGATAAAATTGCAGCTCATACCGAGAGACGCTCATCATCGACTCGGGATCCTTGAAAGGAATCACCAAGTACGACGAGAGCAGATTGCCAAGTATCACGAGGACCGACCGGACGACAGCCTGAAGGTTACGGTGCGAGTGACGTGCGACATGAGGAATCGGCTACGTAACGTTCGAGGGTTTACTCCAGCGCAGCGTGCGCTAGGACGGCAGCCCAGAGATCTGGGCAACATGGCGGACGAGCCGACGACGATGGGCGATCTTGGAGAGCACGACGAGGGATTCTACCAGAACTTGGGTCGCAGGCGAGACGCGGCCAAGGCCTACTTCGCGGCGAATATGTCGAGGGCAGTGCGAGAGGCTTTAGCGGCTCGCAACAGACCCTTAGCGAAGGAGTTCCAGATCGGCGAGTACGTCTACTTCTGGAGGCGCGACAAGGGCGAGAGCGACTTGATCAAGAGTTATTGGAAGGGACCGGCGATGGTGACGCAGGTCGAGTACACGGACGACCCCGACAAGCTGAGGCAGTCAGTCATCTGGTGCGTGCATAACAACACGCTGCTCAGGACGACGCGCGAGTTGCTGAGGCCAGAGCTACCAGAGGAGCGGCGACAACGCGAGGAGGCAGATGATGCTTTCGGTCTACCCTTGTCGACGGCGGAGAGATTGCTCAAGAAGTTGAAGAGCACGACCGGCTCCATCAAGTACAAGGATTGCGTTGGCGACGCGCTCGGGGACCCAGAGGGCCACGTAGACGACGGACGGCCCGAGGACATGGACATGGACGCTACAGGCGTGGACACTGATGGCAAGGTGGAGGGGCCAGTCGAGGAGCGTGCTCATCGCGACGAAAGGACGAGGAGCAGCGAAGAAGCCGAGCCAGCCGAGCGCGAGGTGAAGGAGGAGCAGCCGCAGTCAGCGGCGGCCGAGTCTCGACCCGAAACCGATCCACCGGAAGCCGATGGCAGGCGAGAACCTCATCTCGAGGCACCAAGCCAAGAGAAAGAAGAGGACGCTAAACCGGAGGCCATAGTGGAGAAGCGGAAGGTGGACGACAGGGACGAGTTACTGGAGAGCATTAATGCGGCAAGACGGCTCGACGGGCTCAAACCGTTGGCTAAGAGACCAAGGATAACACCGATGGAGACAGAGACCATCAAGACGGACACAGGCGACGACGAGCTGCTACTGCTGTACGAGGACGAGGCGATGATCCACCTCACGAACGCGGCGAAGCGCGACGCTGTGGTGGAGGCCAGGCTCACGCCGGACGAGAAGGTGCAGTTCGACGAGGCCAAGACCAAGGCATTGCTACCCTGGATCGAGAATCAGGCGTGGCAGGCGGTGGACGAGGCGACGGCGGGAGCTGGCGAAGTGTGTCCGATGGGGTTTCTGTTGAAGTGGAAGATGAAGGACGGAGTTCGAGAGGCAAATGCGCGAGTGATTCTTCAAGGATTTCACTTGGAGGAGGTGACGAGCACTAACGTAGAGAAGGCAAGCCCTTTTTCTGACGAGGCTCGCGAGGTACCTCATCCTGCTCATCCTGTGCCAGCAGTCGTGGAAGATGGTGGCAGCTGACGTGAAGAGCGCATTCCTCCAGGCCAAAGACATTCGTGGGCAGGGAGTGCGCATTTTCAGCAGACCGACGAAGGACATCCGAAGGAGGTTGGCGAAGATGATGGGCCTAAAGGACGACGAGATATTGCAGATGCTGAAGCCAGCTTTCGGGGATGTTCGCGCTCCCAGGCAGTGGAATCAGACGATCACGGAGGCCATGATCGACATCGGATTTCTTCAACACCAGTTGGATCGGTGCTGTTTTCTGTCGTACCGCATCGCAGCCGACGGCGACGACCCCTTTCTGGTGTGGAGTGCAGACGACGGACAGAACTACGTACTGGACGGTATTTTGGGTTTACACGTGGACGACTTCATCGGTGGCGGCGAGAACCTGGAGTGCGAGGCCGGCCTGACCGACAAGCAGGCCTACGAGGGCACGTTCCTGGACAGGGTGCAGACTCTCAGCAGGCGCTTTAAGTTCGGCAAGTGGGAGTTTCAGAACGGTATTGTTTTCTGTGGTATGGAGACCACGCAGTCGCAGTCAAGGAACGAGATCGAGGTCAAGGCCGAGCAGTACATCCATAAGGTGAAGCCGATTAGCATCGAGAAGGTACGCCGCCAGCACCCGGACGATTTGTGCACGCCGAAGGAGATAAGCCAGCTACGAGGACTTAATGGAGCTATGCAGTGGCCGGCATCTCAGTGTATGGTGCAGGCGGCGGCGACAGTTTCTTTTGCCCAAGGTGACGTGAGCAAAGCTACGGTTGGAAGTTTGCTGGAGGCCAACAAGTCATTGCGGTTCCTGAAGGCGAGTGGCGACGTGGGCATCCGTATTCGTTACGTGTCCAAGTGGGAGCAGCTACGACTTGGAGTGTATTGGGACGCTTCATGGGCAACAAGACTTAACGGAGAGTCGCAAGGAGGCTACATGATCTTCGCGATCGAGGACGACAGGATCGACGACGGCCAGGCCACGTTTTTGGTTATCATCGATTGGACGAGCAAGAAGTTGGTTCGCATTTGCAGGAGTTCTCTGTCCGGGGAGGCTCAGGCGGCGGCCAACGCGGTGGACGCTCTGGAGTTCGCGAAGACGATGCTGACCACGATGCTCTACCCCAACATGCAGCTGACGGGACCGGACATGTTGCAGGTGCTAGGGCGAAGCCCGTGTATCACAGACTGCAAGGCGCTCTACGACGCAGCCATTTCTCAGGCGCCAGCCGGTGGCCTGACGGAGCGCAGGACGGGCATCGAGATCATGCAAGTGAACGAGAAGATGAAGGAGTTCGGCGGAGTGTGGAGATGGACGAATACACATCAGCAGATGGCGGACGGGCTGACTAAGTTGCAGGTGCGGCAGCAGTTCGTGGAGAAGCTGAGGAGGATGACACACGCGCTGAAGTACGACGCAACGTTCACTGCAGGCAAGAAGGTCAGCCAGCAAGAGCGTAACAAGAACGAGCAGGAGCTGAACGACGCGGCGGCCGACTTCGACGAGGCGAATGCAGTGGACCAGACACCAGATGAAGTGCCAGCGCGAGAGATGGTCAAAGCGACGAGGGCAGGTACCAGGACAGCACGGAGACTCGCGGCGCTGGTGGCGATCACGGCGGCTACGACGACAAAAGCAGAGGAGACATGCCCAAGCCTGGACATCAACGAGACGCAGTGGATCTACGTGACCGTGCTCACGATGTTGCTGGTTGTGATGGTGCTGGTTTGCGGCTGTTGTTTGTGTGTGACGTGCTACATCAAACGGGCGAATGAGCGATTCTGGAGAACAAATAACGAGGAGATGAAACGCTGTTTGAAAGATACGCCAGACTCATGCGGAGACGACAACGCCGAGTATATGCAGATGAAGATAAAGATGAGTGAGCAAGCCGACGAGATCGAGCGCTTAAAAGAGAAGAACGAAGGGCAACGGACTAAGATCGAAGAGAGAGCCAAGCAAATAGTCGACATGCAGCCAGACATGGAGAAGCTGATGACGGATTTCGAGCAGCGCGGCAAGAGCTTGGCGGCATACGAAGAGAAGTTGACCAAGACCGAGAAGCTACTGAAGGACGCTAATGAGGAGCTTGGATTGTGCTATAAAAGGCTGTCGGCGCTGAACGGTTCGAACGACAAGTTGGAGCGGCAGCTGAATAACGTGAAGAACGAGCTACGGCAGATGACGCTGAGAGCTCGAGACGTGCCGGAGCCCAAGCGGATGAGGTCGGCGAACACTCAGTCACAGTGTACGTATCGACGAGATCTGGCCACGCCGAGGTTTCAGGTGATACAGTCGATGAACGAGCCGACGGTGATCACGACGGAGGAGTTTACAGCAGGCTCCCCATCGGCGAGCTCGAGCAGTTCATGAACGGCGTGGTGATGGTCATCGTATGTGGGACCTACGATATTCAGGAGACCAGGGCACATCTCTCGACTCTGTAGTTGAAACGGTGCAGGTTTTCTGATTTTTCTTGAGTTGGTTTAGGTATGGCAGCGCGTGTGTATTTGTAGTATACTGTGGAATCGGGGCTTAAAAGCTTATTTTCTTTCCCCTGTGTCAATGGCACAGATTCTGTTCCAATGTAGTAGTTATGCATGATGTAATGATTGCTAGCATGCACGTGTGTGTGTTGCTTGCTTGCTTGCGGTACATACTTGCGTGTAGGTGTGCGCGCGCCCGCTGCCTGTTTTGACTCAAACTGATTCGTAGGGGCCCCTGAGCTGATATTAACTACGAGCGGGTCTTATCGATCGCAATCTATCCAATTTCATATTCGGTTTGAAACTTTGTGTGTTCAGACTTTGGTGGTTCTATTGGGTGCTACCGACACAGGGAAGGGGGGGGTAGCTAAGCACCCCCCCACCATTTGCGTAGGGGGGGGAACTTCCCCGGGTGCCGAGGGGGGGGGGGGGGCTGCTAAGCTTCCCCCCCTTTGGAACCAAAGGGGGGGTAGCTTCCTGCAGAGGGGGGTCAAGGGGAGGGGGGGGTAGCCCCCTCCCTTTGCGTAAGGGAGGGAGGGGGGGATAGCTTCCCAGGCGCCGAAAGGGGGGGGGGGGGGCTGCTGAGCCCCCCCCCCCCTTTGGAACCAAAGGGGGGGGTAGCTTCAGGCAGAGGACGGGGGTCTAGGAGAGTGGGGGGAGAGTGGGGGTGTAGCAATCTGGTGCATCCCATTCCCCCGCCTCCACCTTCTCATCCTCCGTCTTGGAGACACGGGCTTGGATGCGCGTGAGATGGGCATCAGGTCCGAGGTTGGAACCGCATCAATTCAGGTGTCATGCCGTTTTCGTCCCGCAGCCCCCGCGTGCGGTCATTGAGAAGAACGAACGTTGGGGTCCCGAAATGCGGCGTCGAGCTTTCAATTGGCATCGCTGAGTCCGCCCAATCTCCGGACGGCCACGAGCTGCTGGCGTTTTGACAGGCTGGGCTCAGTGAGCTCGGCTGCGCCATGTTCACAATGCGCGTGTTGCTCGAGGCGCGATCGCAATGGCCGGCGTAGCGGAATACCCCAGCGAGGTGTCCCCTATTCTTGGTTGGACAGCCATCGCGTGTTCGAGCCGCCGAGCGAAATCGAGCCCGTGGAGATGCCGAGTGGTTGTCCTTCTCCTCCTTCTCAGGTCGTCCTTTTCCTGGCCCCTCCTTCCTCCTTCCTTCGCCCCGTCTCTCTCTCTCTCCTGCCCTTTCCTCCCCGTCCCTTCTCTCACCTTTGTCGTCCCTCCCGCGCCCAGAGAACATCCATCCCAATCCAACAGTTTGTCCTGTTTGTTTTAGTTGGGTTTGGTGTTTTGTGTGTTTCTCTCTCTCTCTAGCGTTCTCTCTTTCCCTCTCTCTCACTATCTCACTGTCTCACTGTTTCTCCCTCCTTCCCTCGCGCCTCCGCTCCCCGCAGGCGTGCCCGCGGCCTGGGTCGGCAGGGCCTTGGCCCTGGCGGTGTTGCTGAGGCGGCTCGTGCGGTCGCAGTGCAGGCGCCTTCTCGACGGGAAGAGGCGTGGGGGGGGGGGGGAATGGGTTCGAACTTTGAGGTTCGCAGCTTTGGATTCGGACCGAGGCTCCGGGACCCCTCGGAAGCGCCGGTTCCGCTCCTAGAGTCTGCTCAGAACGCACCCCGTGAGAGGCACGGGGTCAGCACTTAGGGCCGAGGAGGAGGAGGAGAAGGAGGAAGAAGAGGAGGAGGAGGAAGAGAAGTGCAAAGGGTGTCGGGAAAGGAAGGATTGGGACGACGACGGGGAGGGGGGGATTGCGCCGGCGAGGAGGGGAAGTGCGGGGGGGAGATTGAAGGGGAGGTCGGGCAGGAGGAAGGATGAGGAGCGGAGCGAGGAGGACGCTGGAGACGAGGACGAGGAGGAGGGGGTCGGGAGGAGGCGGGGGGAGGGATTGCGCCGGGCAAGGGAAGGAGCAGGATGAGGGCAAAAGGCAGGATTAGCAGGGTGAGGCGTTGTTGAAGGAGGGCGACATGGAAAAAGAGGAGAAGGATGGAGGAGGAGGAGGGGGAGGAGGAGGGGGTCGGACTCCGTAGCCATAGTGGCTCAAGGCTAAACGTTGTGAGTGCTCGGGGGCCCAAAGATCAACGATTAGCTTCGGCTTCATCCGTCGCTGTCTCTCTAATCCGCCCAGGGTTTCAGCTTACACGTCTCTTCTACACGACCTGAACGTCACGCTCCGCTCGCCGCCCACATGTTGTCGGGCAAGAGATGAGGAGCGAGGATGTGGCTGACCAAGGAAAGCCCTCGCGGAGATCCGACGCCCAGAAACTGCCCGCATCAACACCACCGTCGATCAGAATCAGCTCCAGGAGTTGCGGTCCCACGTCGACGCCACCAAAACCACCCTGATTGCAGCCGTGGCCAAGGTTGAGGGTTGGCTCGCAGGCTTCTCCGCCGCCGTCACAGAGAGCTGCAACGCCATCGACAAACGCATCGTATTCCGCTTGCACACAGTGGGGGAGCGTCACAGTGAGCATGAGGCCGGGGTCGATATCTTGGAGGAGCACATCACGGTGTTTCAGCGCCGTCTTGGTGATATTCGTGAAGCTAAACCTGTCCCTCCCGTGACCAGCAAGAAATTCGACAGGAAAGTGGACACCGCCATCTTCAATTTCAGGACGAAGCTTTCTGTGGCTCGAGCCAAAATCAGCAGCGCGGTGGAACCTTGGCTACCCCGCGCCAACCTCAATGCGCACGAGTACGAGTCCGAAAGAGGGGTCACCGCAAATTGCCATGTCTTTCGTGCCATGGGAGCAGCACCACATGCTGCTCGCAAAGTTTATCAAGGATTCGGCTCTCTTCGCACATCCTGTAGCAGCTGGGAAATATTCACAGGTCACAAACATCAGGCAACATATGAAACGTGAATTGGGGAGTCAAATTCGCGAGGAGGGGGCGCCTGCACCAGAGATTCTTCACGGACGCGATCACAGGACCAGTTGCATGTGAGCGGCGCTCAGTTGTCCGGGTGGACCCCCTGCCAGGGGATCAACCATTTTCTTGTCTCCACCTTCGCCGCAGAGTCATTGCAGCACCATGTCTTCGTCAAGGGCGACTTTCCGACCGCCGTCGCTGGGAAAGATCGCCAGCCATCCGACGGGGTCTCGCGGTGCATTAGCCCATTCTTCAGCAAATCGGCGTCAGTTCCAGGCCGAGCTGCGACGCTTAGATTCGCATCCTGGAAGTTCATGGCACTATCTCTCTCTCTCTCTGTCTCTCTCTCTCTCTCTCCCTTTCATTTTCAGGTCGCCACGAGATCGCGATAGTTAGCTTTGTGAGCTGAGTGCCTGTTTAGTCTTGCAGGAGACTTACGGCTTCCGGGCCGAGCTCGTCGATCTCATCTCTCACCTCCACCTCCCGCATCTGCGCCCGCTCTTCGTCGTGCTCCTCTTCCCGCGCTGGTGGCGTGGCTGTCCTCCTCCTCGACTTCGAGTCCTTCGCCGCCCGCGCTGGCGCTGACCCCCCCCGAGTATGTCATCGCTTCCTGGCCCCAGGGCGAGTTTTGGAAGTGCGCGTGAGATTCTCGGGAGGTCTCTCGACGCGTCTTTTCGGCGTTCACCTCCACGGGCGTTCGGCGACTGAACGAGAAGGGTTTGCTTCTGCGCCGCGCGTTCGTCTCCTCGACCCCCCCCTCGCCCGTCTTCGAGGCTGGCGGCGGTGGCTGGCGATTCTTATTCGCCCAGCAAGCCGCCCGAGCTCCTGGGCGCAGCCCCCCGTCCTGGCCCAGCCCGGCCCGCTTGGAAAGATCCGCCCTCCATCCGTGTAGCGGATGTGTAAGTATCGAGCTGCCTGCGAACAGTCCCGCCACCGTGCTAGTCCAGCTCAGCGGCTCTCGTTCGAGGGGCAGCCGATGCCGTTCTCGCGAGGGGTGAACGAACAACATTATAATTGGTAGCGGTGATGGTGATGAAGATGAAGATGAAGATGAGGATGATGACGACGATGATAATGATGTGAAAGAAACAATAAACAAAACCATCAGTGGCTTTGCCGAATTAGCGAAGTCGCCCGCGCCCGCGCGCCAACTAGCACCATTCAGCATCTGCGTAGCAAGCGAGTGGCTCCAGTTCTCAGCTAGACTGCCCAGCTGATGCCGCTCCCCGCGCGCGCCAGTGACGTTGATCTCTTGCGTGGGGGACCATCAATGCTCGCTGCATGATGTCGCATGCGCCACTGTGCTCCATCTATATCGTGCCGACTTTTCGCTTGGTGGGAGCGGGGGGGGGGGCGAGGGTCCCCAGCCTGCTACGTATTTGCTTTGCTGCGCTCACCGTCTCAGCCCTCGCCGCTTTTCCTGAGTGGGCGTCTTTGCGTCTGGTCTTCAAGGGACGCGCGTCATAAAATTTTCTTTGCGAGTGCTCGGAGAGGGACAGCTCCACCCGAGGCGCTGGCAGTGTCCAGCTCGGCCGAAGCTGCCGGCAGAATTCCCATTCATGCCGTCCTTGTTCCCGCGGGAAGGTAGGCGGCGCAAAATGCCAAAACCCTGATTAGGGATGCCCGCGCCCCTAACAAAAAGCCCAAGGTGCTGCGCGTCATCGCCGAGAGTCTCTGTTCCTCGTTTCTTCCTGTGGCGTTGGTTCCCCTTCCGAAGGCACCAAGATAGTCGCGATCGATTGGCCTGCCGTCAAGGTTTGGGAGAAGCTTTGAACTTCGGGTCTGCCGCGGTTAAAAATTCAACATGGTCATGGGACACCAGTGTTCGGTTTCACGACTCGCGTCTTTGTGGATGCGTATGTGGTTGTGGCGGCCCCGACTCTTTCATCCACTGTTTGGGTCTACTGCCACTTTCTTGCGGCGCTTCGCTTCTTGCGTCCCATCCCATCGTTCTCTTGTCTTGTCCTATTGAATGTTTTGTCGTCCTCTCTCCGTCCCACTCTTCCCTTGAAACACCCGCTGCAGATCTACTCATTTTTCCACTGGCCAGCGAATTTCAAATACACTCATCCCAGGAGCTGCTTCCACAGGTGAGGGCAGCGTTCGCGACGATAAGAGTAGCCAGCTGACGAGCCTCGCGTCCGTCTTGGCTACGTCCCAGGAGGACGGGGCGGAAGGGGTGAAGGGCGGGAATGGGCGATGGGGTGGAGAACGGGAAGGGTAGTGGGGAGGGAGGAGGGGGAGGGGCAGAGGGCAAGCTAGGTGCGACCGCGTCCTATCTGACATCCTACCCTCCCTCCCATCCCTTACCATGGCGCAGAGCCCCTCTCTACTCGCACAGTCGGATGTCGAGCAGGGCAATGATCCCGCAAGGGTACGCGATGCATTGTAGAGCACGGCATGGCATGGCGTAGAAGAGCACCGCGAAGCGTAGTATCAACCTGGCATTGCATTGCATGCCGTGGCATGGCACGGGAAATGACGCCAGCGCTGCAGCGGGAGCACGATTCGGAAGAAGCGGAAGCACGCCAGAATCGGCCAGGAGGCTTCCCGGGCGCCAGAAACAGAAATTCAGCATTTTCAAAAGACAAATGTGTATTGGAATGGCCTTTCTCCAGCGCCGCCTCGGAACTCCATTTTCCGGCGCTGGCCGGAACCGGCTCCGGACCCTGCCCGGGCGCTGGCCCGGGCGCCGGCTCGGGCGGGCGCCGGTTCGGGCGCCAGCCCGGGCGTCGGAATCGGCCCGGGCGCCAGAACCAGAAATTTAGCATTTTCAAAAGAAAAATGTGTCTTAGAAAGGCCTTTTTTCGGCGCCGCCTCGGAACTCCATTTTCCGGCGCCGGCCGGAACCGGCTCCGGACCCGGCCTGGGCGCCGGCCCGGGCGCCGGCTCGGGCGTCCGGCCCGGGCGCCGGCTCGGGCCCCGGCCCAAGCGTCGGAATCGGCCCACGAGGCCTCCCGGGCGCCGGAAGCAGAAATTCTACACGCTTCGCGTAATGATCCCCACCACCCCCTCAGCCCGACCAGGGTCGTCCTGAGGGGCTTTTCTGCGTCTTGGGTGCCTCGGGGGGGCCTCTTGGGGCCTCTTGGGGCCATCTTGGGGCCTTTGGGGGCCTCCTGGGCGCTTCTTGGGGCCATCTTTGCCCCTTGGGTGCCTCTGGGGGGTCTCTTGGGGCCTCTTGGGCGTCTCTTGGGGCGTTCTTGAAGCGCTGTTGGAGGCCTCAGAGGCGCTGGTAGAGCCCATATTGGAGGGGATCAGTCAAAGAAAGCGGAAGCACTAATTAGCGTCGCTCCTGGAAAGCCTTTAAAATCGCCTCCTGAACCGCTCTTGGAGGGCTCTTGGAGCGCTCTTGGGCGCTCTTTGCGCCGTCTTCGGGCTTTCTTGGGCCCTTCTTGGAGCTATCTTGAGCCATCTTGGAGCTATCTTGACGCCTCGGGTGGGCATCGGAAGCGAAAGCGCGAGAACGCCAAAGACATTGATTTTCCCTAGGGTTTTGACACATTTTGGCTTCGTGGGGGCATCCGAGGGGAGCTCTAGTGGACACTTAGAGCCGTCTTGGGGCGGTCTTGGAGCGTCTTGGAGCATCTTCGGAACCATCTTGAGGCATCTTGCGCTATCTTGAACCATCTTGGAGGCGATCTTGGGCTCCCTGAGGCCCTCTTTGAGTCGTCTTGGCTCATCTTGGACGCTCCAACGCGTCGCGGCCCCCCCCTGTCCAGGTCAGTGGGGAGGGGGTGGGAAGAGGGGTAAACCCCTCCCCGAAGGGGAAGAAGGAGGGGTGGAAGAAGAAACGCTCTAAACCACCGACGCCCAGAGGGCTGGTGGGATTGAGCATTTTCAAAAGAAAAATGTGTATTAGAATGGCCCCTTTTTCGGCGCCGCCTCGGAACTTCATTTTCCGGGGGCGGCCGGAACCGGCTCCGGACCCGGCGGCCCGAGCGCCGGCCCGGGCGCCGGCTCGGGCGTGCAGCCCAGGCGCCGGCGTAAATGAGGCCAGCGCTGCAGCGGGAGCACGATTCGGAACGAGCGGGGCCCGAAAATGAGTCCGGCGCCTCAGCGAGAGCAGTATCTTGGAAAAAATGCACGCGAAAACCCAACTCCGGGGAAACCTGTGTGTGTTAAAAAAACAGTACGCGGGGGGGGTCGGTTACTCCCATTCCGTCATCAGGGGAAGAGGGAGAGTAGTATTCATATTGTGGAATTGTAAAATGGAGTACGGGAGAGGAACAGTGGAGCGTCAGGGGGTGGGAGGAAAGCAGCTGAAGATGGGGAGGAGGGGATGCGCGGAAAACGGGGGGAAATATGGGTCCGGAGGGTGAAGAGGATCAGGATGTTTCGGTGCACGTGGGTGTCAGGCTTTCGTGCCGTTGTTCGATCTGGCTTTGGGTGCCGAGACGAGGATGTGCAACGGCAGGCACCAGTGGAGTGGGATGAGGTAGGGAATGGCCGGGCGGATGATTTGCACGAGGCTTCGACGCATGTCGATTCGACCAGGGCGCATGGTCAACCTCCAAACAGATGACATACAGAACTGCGCAGGGCCTCGAACAGATAGGGAGTTTGGAACCTTCGTCGTCGTGGCCACTCCTAACGCCCGGCTTGGCCAGCACGAGAGAGAAGCTGGCCGCGGGAACGTCGCCCCACAGAGCTCGTCCATGAGGAGCAGTTCGGTCGGGGGTGCGAAGTTTGCTGGGGCTTTGGTGCTGGGAGGAACCAGCGAACTCAGCTGTTTGGGCTTATTCGCTAACCGCTCCTTTGCTGAGCTGCACTTTCGTTGGACCCGAGAGGAGAAGGAGGATGAGGGGGAGGAGGAGGAGGGGGAGAAGGAGGAGGAGGAGGAGGAGGAGGAGGAGGCGGAGGAACATGAGGAGGAGGAGGCGGTGGAGGAGGAGGCGGAGCATCCGACTCTTCTGCGGGCCCTCCTTCGCGAGCCCACGGGTAGAACAACATGTGGCGCGCTGTGGGGAGGGGCGGGGCCTCAGACGGATCGAGAAGCTGGCCTCGTCACCCTCCAGGGTCGGGAACAGGAGGCAGGTTACTACGGCCTCCCATCCCCGACGCAGGCTGCCCAGCAGGATGTGCACAAGCTATGCGGGCCGTGCCCTCGTTCCCGACATGCCCGGGCTCGCGGGGGACTGGGAATGCGGTGAATTTTCATCATGCTATTGTTATTGTTGTTGCTCCTCTTGCTTACCTTTTCTCACTCTCTCCCTCTCTCTATCTCTCTTTTGTCGATCCTTCTTTCTCTCCATTTATCTGTCGTCATTGCTCTCTCTATCTCACTGTCTCTCTTTCCTTCTCTGCCCCCACCCTCCTTCCCACTATCCTCCCCTCTCAGCTTCCTCTTGCCGTTGACCTTTACTTTGCTTTTGTTGGCTCCCCCCTCTTCCTTATACAGCCGAGCCGCATGACAAGGAACACGCTATGTTTCGTCAGTGTGCCTAGGTTTCTTTGGCCTCAGTTTGGCGTGGAAGGGTGTAGCAATTATATATATATATATATATATATATACACTTTTAAATGTAGGTCGCCCTGGGTTTGTTTGGGGTCGGTTCATTGCGGAGCGCGCGCCCACATCTCCAACAAGCTTCAGGGAATTCGGGATGGCTTGGGCTTCTTCGCCCGCCTCTCGGGTTGTTCATCC